AAAAGTATCCAAATCGAATGTTTCCGCTATTAAAGTACAAGTCGCATTGGGGTACGTTTTTCGTAGCACAACTAATGACTCTCATTTCATTTTTGCGCCTATCTGCGACACGTGGGACCCAAGTCTGATTGCGTGAAGTAGGATTTTGACGCCGAATGTGATGTATGTAGTGTCTTTGCACTACGTGAACTGTTTGAGCAGCGTTACAAGAATGACCAGCCAACAGTATCGGTCTCCCTCAATTTTAGAGGATCCTCCAACCCTATGGATAGATTGAATGCTCCAAATATACTTAGCCAAGGGAGGCGGTGCCTTAAACGCTCGAAGACATCCATCCATTACTGAGGTCGGTTTGGAATGAGTAATGGGTTTTTCAAAGGCTTTTTCACAAAACAGTTGTATGAGTCATGATTGCGAGTATCGAATCTAAATCGATGTGCAACATAAGGCATTTGATCACTGGTATCTCCGCAGCATAGCAAGATTTAGTTAGCTGCAGCGAGTGAAGTGATGAAAAGTAGGGTAATTAGTAGAGAACCAGCATAGTCAGAGAAGTAGTGTACTACTCATAAGGTGGCTGAAAATTTGTCGACAGCCCACGACCGGTTTCGCCCTTTTTGGGGCTCATCAGGTAGGCGCAGTCCCCGGGTTTCCGTCAACCTTATGTTCTACTTGGAACTGAATTGCACGAAATTCGCGAATATACGCTCAGTTACAAACTAATTTGGTTTTTCGAGAAACTCGCCTAAAATCTAGCTGAATCTGTCGTCTGTGATCTGACGGAAACCCGTGGACTGGCCTACCTGATGAGCCCCAAAAGGCGCGAAACCGGTCGTGGGCTGTCGATGGATCTTCAGCAACCTTATGAGTAGCACATTACAAAGATATACATGTATAGCGATATCTGGAATATCGTAGCGACTGAAAAATGAGGCGGCCATTCAGTTGCCTGAAAACATCGCAAACGTGAGATTCAGCTGGGCTCCAGGTGAATCTCTCGAAAAACCAAATTCGTTTGCAAATGAGTGTGTATTCGCTAAGTCAGAGAAGCAGATTAAACGTAACACGCCAAAGGCTGCTGAAAAGTGTATTACGCGGACCAGCTATCGCCAGCCTAAAAGAGAGGTGTTTTCCATTCCAACTGTGCTTACAAGAGGTCTACTGGGGACAGGTTATGACATGTCGACTTGAAATGAAAACGTCTACAGTTGAACTAGGCTACTTGAGACTATCTCACCCTCCCGAATGAGGCTCACGTGGTCCCGCTTGCAAATGATCAGAATATCTGCAGGGTGTGGCGCAGAACCGTTTCTAGAATCACGCATACTGGCATTTCGTAGCCAGACTGCCTAGCTAGGATTCATCTGTCGTTGTGCGCTTAGCTTATGTTTTCTGAAGTTCAAAAGGAACGTTGGGGTAACCCCTCTAATGACACCTTAATTTGAGTTGATGCACAGGTGGGTTTTTTATTGCTTTCCAAAGGCGTAATACCTCATAATTGATCGTCTTCTCTTAGCAGGTATGAATTTGCAACAAGTCCTTATTCAACCTCTATTAACGCTCTATTACCTCATTTTTGTATGGTAGTTAGACGCCAGTATGTGTTCATGGTGTGCTGCTGTCAATGATGATGTTTATGGTGGGGGTTTTGACGATTGCATTGATGCTTGCGCTCGGGTGCGGTTTAAGCACATCACATTCTATTTGTTTCGCTATTGTCGTTTTATACACCATTCTTTATACCTATACTTCGACTTCGCAATTATTTTCAGAGGTTATTCGAATGATGGTACACTAAGTAGCTGTTTCTCCCTAGTTGAGAAACAGCTTTTGAAAGCATCAAAGCGCTTTATTTCTAATCACGGAAGCTCAGGTGTACTTTTCGTTGATGTACAACAATACTATTGGTGTTGCTGTCCACAGGTGTCACCGCAGTGGGCAACCTCGGGTTTTCCTAATTTTTCTGTCAAACTTCCGTTTCACGGAGCATTTTTTCCACGATACTACACGCATGTCACAATCCACTATTCTATTCACACCCCTCTGGCAACTGAATTAACCAGTCTTTTCAGCAGTCGTTGTAAAGAGGTTTTGCTACCGTCGGGGATTACGGTGACCTTCGTACTGGTTTAACACGAACGCGGCTTATGCATGGGCCCTCATTTATGTAATTTATCAATTCCTCTGGACTATATGTACTTCAGTTCACATAATGAAACAGTATACTGACAAAACATGCGTTAAATATCCTAAATTACTTATTTTTACTTAACTCTGCTTAGCTTAATGATTCTGTTTTAAAACTGACGAAATTATTACTAAATGAGCGACGTTCTTTGCTAACGACTTATAATGCTAACGCGCCTCTGCCACACCACTGACAAGGGACACGAGTATTTGCACACACTTTCGAAGGTGATAATTCGAAACGCGGATTACTTGAGACGTTTCTTAAAAAATAAACTTTATGATTGATCCCAGGTTGCCACCGAAATTTACCGGGATTTTCTATAGGGAATACGAGGCTATTTTAATAGGCATCTAGTTGGCGATTATCCGAAAGCTCGCCCACAATTTACTTATTTGAAAAACGGAATTTCATGTAACTGAGAAGGTAATTTACCCGTGAACCCTAAATCCGAATAAAAATTTGCCTACTGGATGGTCAGATAAGCTGAGGAATAATATCAGTCACAATGTAACGATCACAACAAAACCAGTGTTTACTGGCAGGTGTAATTTACTGAATATAAACGCACTAAGCCTGTAATTAAAGTGACGTGACGCAAAACATTCCTTCCCATTCATCTTTGAAAAAATCGCTGGTTTGGACTCTTTCTGAGCTTAAACAACTATTGTAACGTTTGTTTTTTAACAAGTCAACCTGGTGGACGAGTTAACTTACTCCTTATAACGGCGAACTGAGTAGGAGAAAGGCTTTGACGTCAATACGGCGCTATTTTGGGGATCGCAAAACTCACCTCATTGTGAGGGATCCCGTCACTATCTTCCGGGTACGCTGGCAAAAATAATGCTTTCTGGATTGACAGATTGCTTGATATTTTAAACAATTTGTTGACCTGCTATATTGTTACATGCTTAGTCCGTGTTGTAGAATAGAAAAGGAGGAAGTTTTTGATGTTTTTGTGAAAAAGTGCGCCTTGTCTATGGAGAGAGATACAAAGCGCGAACTGAGAGTTAGTCCTCAAACTCTGTCCTTTGTTTGTAGGACCACACAGGAAGTTTAAGATCTCACCAATTTACTAAGTTCTATTTGGAGCAGTTCGATACTCATGACATGAATCGAAAGACTGGCGAAAATAGAATTAAGGCATTTAGTTCCGAGCAGTGGTGGGACTACAGCTGAGCGCGCGAAAAAAGCTAGCGAAATGGAAGGAGTTGCAGTAAAATTACAATCACAACGAAGAGTTGTTTTGTTCCATTTCTATGCACACAGTGAAGTAAGAATAGTTGGAAGATGTAACGCAACTCACTAGCGGATTAAGCGCAAAGTAAGACCAAAGCTATCGATCAGTTTAATTTGTATATCTGTTGATGAGCAGGTCGGTCTTCTCAATCCAGAACGGGTACAACTATCAATTTCTAATCTTGCCTATATAGCTTGCTTACAACAACTGCATCAGTTGCATTATTTCGCAGTCTTTGGCTTATTCACACTTAAATGCCGTTGTTAAGACAGGCTTCACACAAACTGAGCACTTTCTATTCGTTTCAGTATGAAAAGTACGGGAGTAGTTATGAAAGAGAAAACTATTCTGGATTATTTATTCGTCAAATAATCCTTGTGAGAATTCTTTGATATACTTATAGGAATCATTTGTATGGTGAGAATCAAGCACTATTACGTGTTGCCTTTGTGAGAGAATTAGATGAATTTTGTGAATCTCAGCTGCGTGAGACTATCCGTCTTTACAGTAAGCGTGATCGGGGGCCTGTATCGTTGAAAGTTCTCGTCTTTGGGAGCCAATGAATTATGCGTTAGAATAAGTGACTGGTTACAAAATGTACTGCCCGACGATGAATCCAGCTGCTCTTATCTACTTACCGGCTAAACAGAACAAAGCTTAGTTTTGCACTGCTGTCCCAGAAAGAATGAAATATTCCCCCCTATCACTAATAAATTTGAAAATAGTTGGAAATAATTCCTGTGCGAAAAATCCCTACCAGGTAAACACACCCTACTTGCTGTCCGGAGCAAAGTTAATTAAAATGTTTGTACATTTGCCATTCCGTTAAATGAAAACTTATTTGTGTAGTCGATTAATCAAATAATTGTCCAACGCCTCATTATTGGTTGCTTGTTCGGCTAATGTGAAAAAGTGGTCAGGCTCTGGTGTTAACCGAATTACACGATACTGTTCAGTGTCGTGTGACTCCTAGCTAAATTCCAAACGGCGCCCATTAGTTTGAGTAGGTCAGAGCAATATCTCCAAAAACGTTCACCACCTCGCTCAGCATGAAACGAGTCGTGCTGCAAACAGGATACATAGCTCAGTCAGTAAATGAATTCCCCCGGACTCTTTCATCTTATTGCATACGTATTTCGGAAGAATTGATCCATATAAAATGGAATGAAAATGCTTGGTTTTCCAAACCGTGAAACTTCTTGGGAGCGACTAACCAGAAATACATACCGGCCATTAAAACTCTCGGTCGTACGTCCGAAGAGCGAAGCCTGTGATTCTATTCTACATTATGAGGGAGAATATGACGTATTCTTGGCTTGAGCTGTGAATAATTGACCCGGTGAAGACGACTGAATTAGACGGAATAAATCAGTCCAAATATCAAAGGCTTTTGGTCAATATAAAGGATTGGTTAAGTTTTTCACACATACAGTCACTTTATTATTTGAGTGCGTACATGCCAGTACCTGATTAAGTCAATTTTAAATAAGGAACTCGGACCGAAACATCCGGATGCGGGGGGATACCTCAGGGGAAAAAGTCCTCAAAAATTTCTTCATCCTACCTATCAAGCGTCAGTCTGACCCCGGAAAGATTGTCAATATTCCGTATGATCAATTGTTTACTCAACGTATTAAGGTACGTCCATTTTATTGCTCTCATGGTAAATGGCATCCTTTAACCAGTTTACAACACGTTTTGTCGTTCCAAGAGCGTAATGAGTGTGGTTTCTTCAGCTATCCTCCATTTGTCATTCGAATGTTAGTCTGGGTAGAATCCATGGCAGAAACCAAGAATAGTTAAGTTAATCAGCATGAATGACAAATGTCCGTCATATTTGCATTCGAACGTTAAGATTATTGATAGGTCATTATCTGTGTAGTAACGGTATTTTCCTCAGCTTAGTTCTAGGTCCGAGCCTCCCAAGCTAGCGTTCACGTCAAAACAACCACTAAAAGGTGCACTGGTCTATTATTGCCCAAAACGAAGTCAAGAACTGTTGTACAGCGCTTCGTATATATAGCGTAAGCGGTTATAACTTTCTGGAAGTTCTGACGCGTTCTGGATGCGGCATTGGCAACCGGCATTTGGCCATTACTGGGTCACGATCGGTTGTTGGGTCCAGATTGCTGACCAGTCAGATCTCGCCTTGATGCCGGACCGGCAAGTGTCTCGGATTCTCAGCCAATCTCGTGCGGGTCAGGCTTACCGGCCGTAGCAGCGCCTAAAGACGTGCGGTAAAGCGGGATCCGTGTGGAATTCTGCCTAACAATCTGCGTGGCTGTTTCACGACTAATTTTCAGGTAAATTACTTTTATTGGCATGTAAATGGGTTCTGGGTAGCTTTTCACTAGAACGAATTTCTCAAAGAAAGAAATTACTTCCTTAATGTCCATAATACCTTGCGCTCACCTAGATGTGACAGAATTAAGACTGCCTATGTGGAAACCCGAGTACGGATGAGCAGTTTTGTCCCAAATAATTGCGATCAAAGTTATGAAAACTACAATAGTAAGCCAGCTACTTCCGTTTGGTTTCTTTATGTCGCTATCCTGGCTGCACACACAGTTGGGCCACTCGAGACATGCAAGTTGACCTAGTAGGTGCTGGTGATTACCACCAAGATAAGACATTTTCGACATAGCAGTCACATTACAACTGGACTAAGGTTTAGCAAAAACATGTCATATGAGGGCGACCGTTTTCATAGGCTCCTTAATTTTAATGGATGCATAGACGCTAGCTTTTTAGACGTTAAAAAATTACGCCAGACTAGGATCGATCTTGGTGATTGTCAGGCCATAAAATGATCAAGAAAGGGAAATCTCATGCTCTCACAGAGATATGGGAATGAGTGCAGACTCTGGTAGAGTTAATCTCAGAGGCGGAAAGTTAGGTGTTTGAAGTGGGGTGGTGCGATAAGCTCACGGTGGAATAAAAATGGTTTGCTTTGTGGCAACAAAGACATTGTACTGAGGATAGATAAAATAACCTATTATTTGTAGTGAATATATCAGGAAACAACTAAAGTTATAGCCCTATAAGTTTGACATTACCTGAAAAGTTTCCATAAGTTTTCTTGGAGTGACACCAATATGGGGTCACCGGCAATCGTTCTAGTAACGGGCTCCCACAGAAGACGCTGGCTTGTTGTTCGTACAGAAAAATACATTGCGATTCTGGATTCTGGAAGTGTTATCTGCATTATAAAGGACCAGTAGTTCGTTAATCTGCCGAAATAACCCCCCACTAGGTTGCCTTCAAGAAGATGAAATAACTGTCTGCTAATTTTAGTCGGTACAACATGATCTATGCCTTAACTGTCCCGTTTCCAGAAACCGATAGCTGGAGAAACAGTTATTTTCTCAAATTAATATAATTCGTTCAAACTGGAACACATTCTGGTCAAATGAGTTGCCAGAATAATCTTCTAGTCCGTCCGTTTATGCCGATTCCTCTGATACCGCAGATTTTAGATTGCAATCAGACTGATGCGAAAACTAGACTGCGCTTGCTGGTGTGTTCAACATTTTTTAGGTCAGTATGCATGTTCGTTCAGTAATAACAGAAAACTAAACAGCTTCAATATGGTTTCCTCCTAGACAGGGCAACAACGTGTGTAGATCAACTTGGTGTTAACGAGCGACCTGAATAAACCGCCCTCAAATCTCTCTTGGATAACCTTCTCTTGTTGAACGTTGCATGGAAGCTATCCCATGTTCCGTCTAGAACATTGTCCAACATGGCGAATGACGTTCTTTCGTGTCGCACTCCTCACAGTATTATATAAACTCTTCGGCGACCCACTAACGCTTCCTATTTGTAAANCCAACCCATTTTTACTCGAATACCAGATTGTGCATAAGTAGAGTTAAGCAATAATTTGGTGCACTTTAATCGAAGGACCCAGCTAAATGCCGGCTGAATCGCTCGATTTTGCCAAAATTTAGAGTGCTGTCGGTTCATCGGTTTGTTTTATGACACGTTCAAAAGTGAAGAAAGGTTTAGTTAATGCTACCAGAAGAGGAGAAAACTACGGATAGTGACTGCTACAAAAAATGTAGACCCCAATCTTCTTTGTTTTCACTGATAATGACGTAAACTGATACACACATTAGATGCGCTCATGCAACAGTCAGATAGACGAGCATAGTTGCACATTCGCTGTTAGTGATTTTTGCAGCACCATGAAGGTATATTAGCCATTTTGGGACAGGTTGAATATCGCTTTTTGCTGATGAAATCTTTGAAGAAAAGCACCACGCCTGCAAACTCTCCGTTTATAGCGCAGCTGTTCTAAGTACAAACTGACGAAATCCGCATATGACTATTGTTTCTTATGTACTAACAGTCTCCATCGTTACACTACTTCGGAAACCAGGTGTGAATTTATTATATTTTATCTGCTCAAGACTGCATTCAATTATTCATTTGAAATCTCTGTATCATTCATTTTTTCAAATCGGTTTACCTGAACAAATCGCTGAATGATTGTTTCGTTCATTGAAACGGATGGAGCGGAAACGGAAGGTTTTGTTATTCAACCCTTCAACAACACTGCATCTACTCACTGGGGGAACGACGGCACCCCGTTTTATGACAGAGAAGAAGGTGATGACTTGATAATGAAGGGCTGAATAACCAGAAGACTTGTGGTGGAATCAACTGCCAGACAGCGGACAATGCGTAGGCTGATACTTTTTGACCACATTGTGTGAGGTTTCGATCCCTGACTGAATAGGATATGAACTCACCTGCTGTAAAAGTAGCGATACGGAATATCAAACTAGTTCCATATTTTATTTTCACTGTTCAAAATTGAGAATAGCCCGGGGAAATATTTATCTCTGTTGAAAACATTCAAGGTTTATCGGTGAGTCGACTATGAAGGTTTTCGTTCCTGAAAAAGGGCTTTTCAGTAGTCAGAACCGTCGTTTCTGACGACATAGGCCTTTCCAGCAGACTTTTGTGTCCAGTGAGCACGCACAGACTACTCGGACCGTAGATTTGTTGTCGTAAACAGGTCGTTTGGAAACCACTTTTAAGGGGGAGATTTTCTTCTGAGGACTGACAGGGGAATGTAATGTTGAAACTTCTTGGTCAGTGTGCTCATCTTTAGCTCACCTGATTTGGATGGTGAGCAAATGACGTTTTATCTCTGGAACAAATTTAGATTACTATTATTTTTTTGCAGAAGCAGGCCAGCAATGCCGTGGGAAGGCGACACTTGGACGACAAGTTTTTTATCTCACATAAAAACAAAAAAATACAATGATGGTCATTTTGGTCTCGGATACATGCAGTCTGGGAATGAGTAGTATGTTGGAACTCCGGGTCGAAACTTAAGCTTTGCTTATGAGTAAGCCCATAACCCACCAAAATATGCACACGACTCACCATAGTGAATTTTCCAGTTTACCTATACTACATGGATTTTGAAGCGGTCTAAAATGTCTTAGTAGGCGGAACTCATAATGACTACTTTTTTACGGCTGCCGCTTTCTATTATCAAATATTTATTAAAATTTAGAAGACAAGTAGGATGACGGGGAGGATAATGCTCCATTATGATATGCACTTTACTACGCACTAAGCTATTGAAAATAAACAATGTCAATACACAGCGTGTGAGTGCGTTTGACAGTGTCCGTCAAAGAATTAAACAAAAAAAGTAAGCCAGAGGGAGATCGTTTCCCCTTGGGAAGTTTTTGTTTAGTATGCAGCAGAACGATATCAATACATTGTTCATTTCTTTGCGATTCGGGGGGTTGAAACTGTAGAAACGTTGGCTTTTGTTTGCGAGAATTAATGGCTCTTATTCAAATTGTGAATGTATTACGTTCCGTTCGTAAACGACAGTGCCGCGCCGGATTGCACGCTTCGGTGGGCAAAAATATTAACGGACAATCGATTGGTAATCAACTTCAGTTTTGTATATGGTATGTAGACAGTTTGTACAACAATGACTTCGAACAGTACTAGCTTAGCACGCTAGCACGAAAGGATTGCTTGGAAGAGAGCATGTCGGGGACGCTGTCTAATACACTTTTAACACACTATACTAGTCATTATTTCAGCCTATTTTCCGTGCTATCTTGTCGATACCAGCCTCTCAGGAGATGCATTGCTGTCGGCGTAAAATCTAAAAGGTCATCTAACTTAGATGCATAATAAATGTCAATATTTATCAACCATACTGACAAGAGTGCATTTTTGTTAAGCGCTGAAGGTCATCACGAAGGTAAAACACCAAGCTATATGTTGACTAATACTAGTACTATTTTCAGCAAGCAAATAATCTAACTTCTTCCGAGATTTTAATATCAAATGGAGAAAAAGTGAAGTGACGCGGAGTCCAAAAATCTGTGTAAGAAAAAAATGAGTGAGTTATTAGAAGATTTACTTTGTGGGTATTGCCTTTCGGAAAACGGTAGGTGGTACGATTGAAAGTGTGAGAAGAGGTGCCAAAGAATGTGTAAGGAGAACGTGTTCCAAAACAGCTCGATGGAATAAGTGTATGGACATCAGTATGGACTCGTGGTTGTCGGTCACAGGTACTGAATGTTCCTTTACACTTATTAGAATGAAGGCAAAAAGGAAAAAAGCTAGAGACTGTGGGTAAATTTGCGCTCTGTGCG